TACAGGTTTTAATGTCTCTTTAGATTACATGTGCATTTTTAAAATGCATTTCTAGATTTTTATCTCACCCACGGTAGAGGAGCTCAAGGTGGTCTCTCTTTCTATTTTATTCCTTGAAATGGATTGGAGTAAGAGCCACAGAGTGGGGTTCCATAGCTGCAGGGGAATTAGAATTTAAATCTTTCTGGGGCCAGCTCAATATCTTCACCACAGCACCACACAAACTAAGTGGAGATTTATTTTTGTTCTAATGCTCTTTTAATATCTTTGATTGCACATTTTTTAAAGTTAATGTTGAGCACTGTCCATTTACTTTCTCAAGTTTTCAAAATGCACTAGTATCAATCGTGTCTGTTTAAATATTTCCACCACATCTGAACAAAAGTGCTATGGCAAATTAGCACCTGCCTGGAGTGTTTCTAGACATATTTACATATTTTTCTGATACATTTACATATTCTTTAGAGAATGGATTTTTCTAATGGACATAAAATCCAACGTAAAATGGCAGTATGTAAACAACTAATTGCTCTGCAAATTTGCTTTTGCACAGTAGCAAGTGTATCTTCTGAAGGTCACTGTACTAATCATGTGGCATGAATAGCTGGGACAGTAAATTATCAAGGTCACTTCACACACAAACATGTGCACACACACATTGCCACTGCAGAGTAATTCATTCCCTTCATTGCTTGCCAACTGCACTGAGATTTGAACTAGTTAACTCAAATGAACTTAGCTGGGAAAAAGAAAGCTTATACAGTACACCAATGATCTAAGAGATGCCCTAAGATAGAGTCCTGAAATGGCTTTGCAAAGTTCTAGTATTGTAATACTCTGCATCCTAAGTAGATGCCCTTCTGATTAATGTTTGCATTGGGAGATCATTGAGGTCCCTATGAATAGTCTTCCAGCTTTCAAAAGCAGATTGAGACATAAGCCTAGCAACAATAAGTTCTAGAAGAAAAAGAAGGCAGAGGAAGGAGGAGGAGATAGAGAAAGTTCAAGTTTAGTTAAGAACATCTCCATGGTCTTTTTTCTGTTAAGGTTCAACAAAAGCTGCTCAGTGTGGGCTCAGCTATGTACATGTTTTGAATAAATAAAATAAAAGCAGCAGTATCAGGCATTTCTGTCATAGTGCAAAGATGAGAAATCTAATTTAATATCCGCAGGTCAGAAAGTGCAGAAATTATGCTGGGGAAAACAGGGCTTGTTTCTGGCTGGTTTCAAGTCAAAAGGAAAGGAAAAGAAGAAGAAGCCAGCCTGCAGTTGATGTGGCTCATTAAAATGCTGGTTGAAAGGATATAATTCTTTTTACATTGGGGCAGCAATAAATTGAGCCTCTGTTCTGTCTTTTCTGCACATTCTCTGTTTACACTCCCATTCCTTACTACCACTCAAAAACACATAAGGCACACTATAAGCCTTTCCTCTGGGGAAGCAGAACCTGGCTGTGCTGTCTGTGTGTTTATTCTGCGGGAGGTTAACTGCTTCCCCCCACCTCTGCCTCTGTATTTTATCTCTTCTGCAGCTCAAGTTCAGTGAAATACTGAACAGACACCCCTAGTCATAACATTTGGGCACTTGCCTTTAGCAGTGACTAATCCCTGGATTGATCTTTTCCAGCTGGAAGCTGAAATAACTACAGAATTGCAATGAGCTTTCTTTGGCATGAGGTCCAAAGCGGAAATGCTGAGTCAAAGACTTGTTATTCAAGAGGTGACCCTGAAGTTGCAACTTGGCCCTAGTGGGGTCTGGCTTAACCTGTTGAGGTTTTCTTAGCCCTGCTTTTCAATGGAAAAATATGCTGCCCTGCCCTGTGTGTATATATCAGCACGTGGCAGCAGCTGGCTGACCTGTCTGGGCTCAGAAGCTAAGCACTGTCAGGCTTGGTTATCTTTTCAAAGGGAGTTCACCAGGAAATACTTAGGCTATGGCTAAACTGGAAAGTTGGGGGTGAAAAATCAGAAATCGCTGCCATATTATTGCCAAACACAAAAACAAAAAAACCCTGAATGTTTTTGTCTCTAAAGTCACCACGAGTCAAGTTTGATCTGTAAGAGATGCTATCTCCAGGCTAATTTTAACTTCTTCTTTCCCACCATTCCAACGGAGCTCTAAGGGCTGAAAGCATCCTTCTTTATATTTTTTTTATGCTCTTCCTCTACTATGACCATATACCCAGTGGTCCAGTCAGCATCCCAAAATACACAATCCAATTGGCCATCTCACTTTGTCACAAGTTGCCAGATCTGTATTTCAGGAGCTTCATAAGCAGAGAAAAAATGATATTGTAGCCTTGAAGGCCCTTCTCGCTCTGAGCATATTTGTCCTTTTAGCATATGTTTCTCTTCTTCCTTGTAGGCATGACCCCCTTGAGCCAACATCCTCCCCTGAAATCGTTTCTGGCCTTACCTGTTTGCTATGTCCTGCAAGACCAGGTACCTGCTCCAGCCTATGAAGCACCGTGAATAGAAGTTTGACTTTGTTTTTTCTTTTACAAAACTAGTTTTTGTTACTCTTTTATAAATATATGAAAGGTGTAGGTTTGCATCCATGCAGTTACAGATTTAGGGGAGTCCACACTTCAGTTTTGACAGAAGTCCCTCGCTGTTGTTTTGATGCTGGAAGAACCCAACTTCTAGACACCTTTTTATGATGCCATTTTAAAAACACAGCAGAGCTGGTCCAAATTAGGTGTTGGCAATTCTAAATTTGCGACTTTTCTAAGGACAATTTCTATCAGAATCATGTTTACCAGTTCAGGTACAAGATGAACAGAATAGATCTGATCCTTTTTCTGTTTTGAAATATATTTCAAACATTATAAAAACCCATTTGGTTGCATTTTATATCAACTATTTTCTCTCCACCCCCCCCCCCCGGGTTGGGCAGGATATGGCTTGAACTGTAGAGCTTAAACTAGTCTGCCAAGCAAAGCATGTTTAACATGCTTCCATAGCAACAGGTTATCTTATTCAAGCAGACACAATTCTTCTTTTCCTAGTGAATTCCAGTAATGGGCTCATTCTAGCACACTTCATTGGTGTCATCTGTCACACAGGCTCTTGTCTAAAATGAATAGCCTTTTGATAGTTTAACTTTCTCTACATTCTAATGGAAGTGTAAATAAACAAGCAAGGAAACAAGCAAGTGTTTGTACTCTTTGTTAGAAGAATAGTTTGACATATAGCTCCAGTGACATTAAAGTAGAAAGTCATAATGAGCTGGTTTGCATTGTTCCAAGATCCTCCGTCCAAAAAGATGCTTATCTTCATTTCCGCATGCTCTGCTTTATTAAAAAATGTGCTTCTCATTTCCCAAATCCCTTGGCTGTACAGGTGGATGGGATGAAAAAAGAAATTTCATTTCCATAACTATTTCTGTCTCATTTGGGACCCTGAATGCATCAGTACTTTAACATAAGCTTCTGCTTTTGATCATAACTTCTGTTCAATGTAGGTAAAGTTAGATGATGGCTTGTATTATATCAACATAGTAGCAAAAATGAAATAAGCTATAGAAATTAAATATGAATGTTTATATCGGCACCACCATCCACCAGCAGTACTTGCTGTATTAGACGTCCTATGAAATCATCCTCTGCAAAAGTGCACTATGATGCAATTTCATGCATTTTTCATATCTTAAGATAAAGGTTAAGCTGTGACCAACTGAAGGAAGCGGTGCTCATCTCCAATTTTCAGTCTAGGAGCCTCTGTTGTCTAAGACACCTTCCAACATCATGTGGCCAGCATGAAAATATGGAACACTGTTGCCTTCCCGCCGAAGCGGTACCTATTTATCTACTCATATTTGTATGCTTTGAACTGCTAGCTTGGCAAGAGCTGGGGCAAATAATGGTATCTTACCCTGTTGCATGGCACTTGGGTCTCGAACCTGGGCTGTTGGCTTTCCAGTTGACACTACCAATCAGATACCCTATAGATGTGCTGCATGATAGCTCCTATCTTCTTCGATTACTATCACCATGCTTGGTATAGATTATGGTTATCTGTTCAACACTTTGGATGGTAACAAAGTGTAAAACAGCATTCAAAAATAAATGGTACTTTTAAGGCTGTTGTCTTATGTATATAATTTGTGCATGAGCCCATTAAATACTCTTAGGAAGGAATTTCTGAATAAATGTGTATAGGTCTGGGTTATACCACTGTGTGCTAAGAACTGTGTTATATACTGAGATACATCAGTTACCTGTCTAATCAATGTTATTAACAGGAACTGTAGGTTTTCAGAACTTCAGAAAGGGCTTTTCTGTATGAAAGCACATGTTCTACCCCTAAATTCTTCCCTGACTGAAGGAGACATTGGATGCTAAAAAGAAAAGGAAATATTAATCTAAATGAAACATATCAGTCTAGATATCTAGTAGCTATCTTTTTTTAAAAAAAAACATGAATTAAAGCAGATTGCCCATAGTGCCGTGATTTTTTCTGTTAGTTCTCAGCATCCAGGCACACCTCATGCTGCTTTTACACCAATCTTCTAAAGTGGGTTGGTCACTTCTCTCCAACCATACTTGTAATGTATGCAGAATGACGCAAAATAACTTCAAAATAGCATTTTTCTTCTTCCCTTTTATTCCCCAATATTTTCAGGAAGTTTAAAAGAGTTTCAAAGTTTCAAAGAGAATTTTGCTCAGCATTTTTTGACCAATATGACTTCTTTACTTACCCAAATCTGCTGTCTGAGTGCTGCTGACAGGCAACTTCAAAGCCACTTTCCTAGAGTTCTTAAACTTTAAAACACTTGGACTGAGCAATCCTTCCATCAGAGCACACTTTCAAACAAAGAATTATCCTCTCAAAATCTTTCAAAGGAGGGCCCTCCTCAATAAAATAGGACACCTGACAACAGTTATATGGTTGACTAATAATCCAGGGGCAATTTCTTTGGAGGAGCTATCTAATTTTGCTAAGCATAAGATCAAGGTAACTTTTTGAAAAGTATATCCTTTTTCAGTTACCATAGCTTACCTCTCCTCTGGTGCAAGGCACTGCATCAGAATATCTGGAAGTACAGAGAGATCCCTCTTCGGTGCTATCATCTGGAAGCCCAAATGTAGCTGTGCAATTGACAGCAAAATATTTGTAAGGTCTCCAGGTCTGCCCATAGTTCTGGGATCTTTCCAGTATCATGGCTGCTGGGCGGGGTGACTTGAAGACTACAATGACATGGGTCAGGTAGAACTCTGTTTCCAGATCCAGCCTGATTTCTTCCCTGTGCACCCCTTGTGCGGACTGCCACCAGGAACCAGGATGCAGGAAGAAGTCATCAGTCATTTCATCAGGAAGATGAGAGTTATTAGGCTGGTTGGCATTGCATTTGGTACACTTGGGCAATCCGCAAGAGCCATGGTACAGGTTGTGCTCTGGATAAAAGCAGTAGAGTTCTGTGCTGTTCTGTCCACATGTGGTAAGTGTCGTTGGTGTCCTGCCTGTTGCTAGATTTCCCACCGCAGGATTGCAGGAATGCCCATCACAACGGAAAGCTCGTGGCTTCGTTGAACCTGAAAGAACAGAGGGAAATCAAATGATGACAAACCAATTCACTGCACTGTTCTGTTCCACCTGCTTCCTCAAATGTTCCTGAACACTTAAGGCCATACTGTTACACAGCCTCCTATCCTGCCTGCCTTTTTATCTTTCATACCGATGGGTGGCTGTTTAAAGAGAGTGGCTGATTTTGGAGTTTTGAAAATACTAAATTATTTGAAATCCTTTATATTAAAAGCAGGGTATGTGATGCAAAATCTAATGAGTAGAAATAATGGAGGTAACAAACAATTTTAAAAATCTGCAAGGTGTGAACAACTATTTTAGGGAAATTTGCTAATTGAGTAGTAGCACTCAGCTTTGGAGGATCCTGGATGAAGTGAAATATTTGGACTCTTTTCAGGCAGGATTCATGTCATGTTACAGCACTGAGCATTGGTTATGCTTGTGGATGACCTGGGGTGGAGGTGGTGGATTCATCCTGCCCTCCTGAATCTTTTAGAAGTGTTCAGTGACATCAGCCATGGTTTCCTCTTGGACTGACTCAGGAGATTGGGAGTGGAGGATGTGTTTTGTATTGATTCTTCATCCTCTGGGACTGGTTCCAGTCAGCGTTGCTGGGTGAAGAAAGGAGAGGTCAAACCCTAGGCTTCTGATGTTGTGGGGTACTCAGGCTTAAGTCCTTTGCTTCTCCATTTTAGAAACTAAAGAAAGGAAAAGAACTAAAGGAAGAAAAGGAACTAAAGGAAAAAAAGCAAACCACAGGTACGGTTTTTTTATCTATTTATCATATGTATATGTATGCAGTGCTTTTTTTGGTCATAGAGCGCACCGGAACAGAGTTCCAGCACCTTTTTTCGATGGATTTTTCCAAGTTTTAAAAGTAACTTTTGCAAATTTAATGTTTGATCCACATGGGCGTGAATCGCCCTGTCGAGCTAGCAGGTCAGCGGCAAAATCATTAAAAAGGTGCATGCGGGCTGCTTGTGTGTCAAGTCTGATGCATGCGTACTTTGTCCATGCTGGTTGTGATGGCGCTGTTTGGCTTGTGATTGGTCGTGTGGTCGCATGCTGAGTGCTTACTGCGAGCGGCAACTGTTATGTTTTGTAACACAACTGACATGTGTGGGTGGGTGTACAGTGATTGACTACGTGCAAAAGGTAAATAATTTCTTCTTTTAAAAAAACATTGATGAATTGAAAATCTTTTTTAAATTTTTACTGTAAAAGTGTGACCCCAAATTTAAAAATGAAAAAAAAAATTACTTCACAACCACTGGTCCTGCTAAGAGGTGAATATATAATTTTTTAAATAAAAAATTAACAAGATTTGAGTTCCGGCACCTTTTTTCTTACAAAAAAAGCACTCTTTGTGTGTGTATGTGTGGTTTTTTCCTTTAGTTTCTGCAAGTGTGTGTGTGTGTGTGTGTGTGTATCAGGTGCAGTAAAATATTGAACCTGGAGGCCAATCAAAATTGGCAGCAATGAGTTGATTTTAATTCAGATTACTTCTGTTAAATTGTGTTGAGCATAAAACACCAGTCATTTCTGTGATGGTTCTTATTTCTTATAGGGACGAGTGCAGAAAGAGAAAAAGAGGCAGAAAATTAGGACATACGTATTACTGAGTCCAATAAAGGAGAATATTTGTAGTTCAGGGTTGAAATGAGGGTTCCTTGATGTCTTTGAGCTCAGTTGTTTTCTTGCAAGCATTTCATTACCCAAACTAGGGAACATCACCAGTGTTAGCAATTAGACTAAATAATGCTAGACTAGACTACATTAGACTAGAACTGATGTTACCTGATTTGGGTAATGAAATGTCTTCAAGAAAACAACACTCAGAGAGCACCAAGGATCTCTGATTTAAATCTACTCATTTCCAGAAATTAATGAGCATCTTGTATTCACAAAAGATTGCTTGAGAAAACAGTAAATAAGCACCTTAAGAGTAGCAGATTGGGGGAAAATGTATATGGAGAAGAGCAGATTCCATATTTTGGCTTGTGCAAATGGAAATCTTCTTTGTGATCTTCTGATCTGAGGGTTAAAGCCACTGTGGGTGAGTAAGATGCATTCCATTTGCATAAGGATCAACCCAACAGAAACCTTTGCACCAACTTTGTTTTACAAGCAAACCTGCCTAGGAATTACCAGAGGCAAGAGATGAATGGAGGTGAAAGTGATGAAGGTACATGTTTCACCACTTAAAACCAGCAAACAAGCAAGCAAGCCAACTTTTTTTTCCCAGTTCTTATAGATGAGATCAGAAAACCTTTCCCCTCTTCCTTACGTTTCCTAGCTTTACCTTGTAAAACATACAGAGTCAGTTTGGTTTAGTTAAGGCACCAGGCTAGAAATCAAGAAACTGAATTCAGGTCCCATCTTAGCCATGAAAGCCAGCTCAGTGACTCTCACTCAAGAAGATAAGGGGCAAATGATTTCTGAAAAAAACATGTCAAGAAAACTGCAAGGACTAGCCCAAGCATCACCAGGAGTTAAAAACTAACTTGAAGGCACAGGACAAAAAATAAGTAAATAATTCCTGTTGAACTCTTGTGTGGTTAAGAACAGCAGTAGAACACATGACAAATAAACACAGGGAAAGTTGATTGTGGGGGAAGGGTTGGTTCAAATTGTTGGGTTAAGAGCCTCACATTGGAAAAAATCAATGTGATTGCTTGGCTTCCCAATCAGACAGCCTATCCATCACTCACTTATTCCCTGAAATGTGGGGTCACAGCCACCGGGCAGTATGGATGAAGAGACAGAAGCAACTTGGGACCTAGCCTGAATACCAAATGGGGCTCTTTGAATAATTCATAGAAAGGATAAACAATCAAGATTGCCATGCATTTTTCTTCTCTGGGCCCCAGGTGCTGCATGTCATTGAGAATTTGGCTCTTGATTGATGGGTTTTTCAATAATCCCTGCTCCTTGGCTATTTATGTATTTATTCCACAGTCCCCAGGAGGCTGTTCAGAGAGGTGGCTGTTTGCTGGAGGTGGCTTGATTAAAGAGTGGTTCCATTGAGGGTGAACCACACAGCTGGAAAAACAAAAGTGGGCAACCTCTTCCATGGGTGATGGCTGAATCAGACAATTCCAGTGGACATTAAATGTTAACTAGTAAATAGGTGATGTATTATCCTTTTTGAAATCATATGTAGAACCCAAACAATTGGAAAACAAAACTGAAATTTTCTCACTGAATTCAAACATGTATACAATCATCACTGGTGTAGGACAAAAAAATTTTCAGCAGTCATCAAGGGTACTTTGCAACACTTTTTTATTTTTCTTCAATGAAAAAACCATTTGGTTTTGTAGGTTTTTTCCCCCCTTTGTTGTTGAGTACATTTCTCCAGATGATGTTGTCGTCATGTAAGAAAATGATTTTTTTAAAAAAGTGGCCTGACTATTATTGTACAGTCTCTGTTCTTTTGTGTTGGTTTTCATGAGAATTTCTATTGTCAGTGTGTTTTAAATTTATAAACAAATCTTCCAGCTTATTCTAGATGGGTTGCACTATAGGTTTACAACTTGGGTGTTGTTTAAAAATCCTGCTTTTATAATGTCCTATACTTGCTAGGTTTTGGAGAAACTGTTAGACAATATATAGCAATAGCAATAACACTTATACTTATATACCACTCCATAGTGCTTTACAGCACTCTCTGAGCAGTTTACAGAGTCAGTATATTGCCCTCCAACAATCTGGGTCCTCATTTTGCCGGCCTCGGAAGGATGGAAGGCTGAGTCAATCTTGAGTCGGTCAGGATCAAACTGCTGGCAGTGAGCAGTGAATTAGTCTGCAGTACTGCATTCTAACCACTGCGCCATCACATATAAGTATGACTGTGCACAAAGTTAAACATTTCAGAGGATAGTATTCTCTTGAATTATATGGAACTTGTACATGGAACTTGATAACTGGATAATATAAATTGTTTTTTTGAACTATTACTGTAACTAAAAGACTGATATTGGAACATTGGAAAGATAAATATATGTCCCCATTTACTCAATGGATTGAAAGCTTGATTTCACTTGCTCCTTATAAGTGGATTGCCTAGACTTTGTATGGATAAATATAACAAAATTGGGATTCATTTACACAAAATACAGCAGGTTTAAAAAAGCATGATAGTTATATAATTGTACCAGAAGTGTGTGTGTGTGTGTGTGTATGTGTGCATATATACTTGCAGAATGTTTGCATTAATTATATACAGAATTGTAAGTGTATAATTCTATATATAATTAATGTTACAATATGTAACATACTTTATAGTTTGTTTTTTTCCTGTTATTCTTTACTTTTTAAGCACCTGTTATGCATTTTCTATTATGTCTGTACTTTTACTTTGTATCTTTTTTTGTTATCATTCTTAAAAGCAATATTATTTATATTAAAAAGTAAGCCCACTTATGAGTACTGTTGTATTTCAGATGTGCTTCTTAGATTGTCCTAGTCTTGCTATTTGGAATTTAATCTATTGCAATTGTATCAATGCACTGAAGTTAATTTAAAATTTAAAAGAATAACCTAAAGGGAATCACATCAGAAGAAAAAGTAGGTAGAATATGAATGAACTGTAGGTATATAGGTACCGTGTGTAAGCCAGTTTTTGTAAAGGAGAGACAAATGTCAAAGGGGTCCAATCAGGCAAATGGAAAGACTACACTGTCTCTCTCACTCACTCACTCACTCACCCACTCACTCACTCACTTGTCCATCTAGAATGCACAGGTGAGAGGTGGACAGGTAGAATTGCCAGGGAGGGAAGCAGACCAGGATGGGAAGAACCATGTAACAGCGTAGAATCACAATGACACATATCTGATTTGGGAAAAGAGCAGAGACAGATGTGACATGTAGCTAGAATGCCAACTTTAATTCTTATCCACTGAAGATGAATGTCGAGAAAATAAATGTGATACTTCAAAGCTGCTAGTATGGAATTTCAACTCCTATGTACAGGTATAATTATAGCTACTTGGGGTACAGAGAGCTATAGGACCACTTATCCAAGTAGAAACTGCTTGCCCTGGATGTGCCCATACATAATAAAATTTGGCAAATAAACATCCCTCCCCCAGAGGTCAGTATTGTTTTATGGAGCTTTTCCCTTGTAGAACTGGCTCTTCTCAGAAATAAGCAGCTAATGTTTAGAAAATTAGTGAAAACTTTTTTATTATTTAAGGAGGCATTCAGGATTGAGATGTGGAAGATGTACATACCTAGGAAGTACAGGGGTGCTGTTCATGAAATGGTCACAATTATTGTTATTTTCTTCAATACATTAATTAGATTTTATGTATGGCGTAGTTTACTGCATAACACTTATATAAGCAGCTTCATTTTTTATTGAAGTGTATAAAAGCACTTGTAATAAAAGGGGATTGGAAAACGTCCTAGAGAATAAGGTTATTTGGGCTTCTCATCAGGATGGTTTTATTGTGTGGCAATGTTGGTGGAAAACGTGAGGGACAGTTATGTGCTCATGTCCTATGTATGAGCTTCCTATTGGCAGAGCCTTGCAGAAAACAAAACTGTTGGCCTGAACCTGCACTGCTTTGCTTATTTTCTTATGTACTCTGATTAAATCACATTCTCTGCTGCAATCTAATTTGCCCTTTGGTTTTCAACTGGGTCCAGCAGAGCTTTTCATATATCTCATTGCCCCCCCTTCTGTGTTCCTAATTGGGATGGGAGGGAGAATATAATCACTGTAACTAAACTATTTTGACTACCCTGAGACAGCAATGTGACTTAGTGTTCTGTGAAAAGTTGCAATGTTATAGTGGGGCTCCATTAATATTATCCTTTTGAATGTAATCAACTTCAGTGCTTTAGTATTATTATTCCTCTCCATTATCAACAAATAAACAGATCAAGTTCTCGAACTGAGAGCTAGTGAGATCAGGAAACAGAAAAGGTAAGCATGGATTTACCAAGAATATTAAGCACAAGCACATGCATCATATTTAGAAACATTATATGCTGTCCATTCTGAAAAGTGTACCCTGCACTTGCAAGAAAACACTAGGAAGAGAAAAAGTATTATTAAAGCAATAATACACTTGGTTTGGTTTTTCTGGATCAGTATGATGTGGAGTTCCAGTGAGTGTAGTTTATAGCCTAGCATTATATAGAAGCCAAGCGCCCATAGCTTCATTCAAAATACCACAACATTGTTCTGTATATAAATCCAGCTAATGGATGGTGTTACTGGGGTCATTGGAGACCCCACAGAATTTTATCCCTCTGCCTAAATTTTAACCCAGGATTAAAACTGTCCACCAGCTTTGTCTGTAGGCATGCAATCCTGTCTTTATGTCTGCTATTAAACCAATTAGAACAGCTCAAATTTGCATGATTTTTGCAGGAATGGGATAGTGTCTTTTTGTTGTTATGGTACAAGTCTGAGAACATGGTGAAACATACACACCAGAAAGGACTGCTGTGTCCACAACTTTGTTTTGAATTACCGAGCTGAACAGAGCTTGTGTTTCCTTTATACCAGTAGTTCTCAACCTTTTTAATGCTGCGACCCCCAACCAGTCGTAAGTCGAGGACTACTAACCAGTCATAAGTCGAGGACTACTCAACTGGTGCAGCACCATTTGCAGAATGGGACTTTTGGCGGGCTCAGCAGGGCAGAGACAGCCTGGACAATTCCTATCGGCTTTTGAAAGCCAATAGAATTAGACTCTATTCAAGAGAGTCTATTCTATTGGCTTTCAAAAGCCAATAGAATAAAAGGGAGTAGCACAGCTAAGGAAAAGGGGGAAAAAATGGCGGACTGCGTTGTTTGGCAACCCCCGTAAAATGGTCGTTCAACCCCAAATGGGGTCCCAACCCACAGCTTGAGAATCACTGCTTTATACAAACATCCATATGCAGTTATCCTGACCTTTTGAGCAATGTAAAATAGTTGGAAATCTTCTCTGGATATTATGTAGATATCTAGCAAGGGTTCCAGATTTATTTTCTGCCCAGTCTTTGTTATGATAGGGAAAGATTGCAAACTAATAGAGTGGGTCACTATAACTTGGGCTTCCTGTTTTTTTTCAAATCAATCCCCGTTACCAAATAAGATTGATGGGCAACATGAACAATTCTTAAGGATTCTTCAGACTGAGGCATCAAGGAGAACAAGGTGTCAAGAGTTATTCTGGCTGCTTTATTTTTGCAGATGCTGTCCAGAGTGCATGCAGACTAAACACTGACCTTTGCTCCAAGAGGACCTTGAATGAGGCAAAGGGCTGTGAAGGGCACCTGTGCTATCAAAATATAGGCTGCCTCCATTGCCCCTTCATCTCAGAATCAGGTACTAAGAGGGGAGAAGGTGAAAGGAAAGAATCAAAGGCAGATTCCCTCCTTCCTACCTTAGATGCCAGGACTTCCTGGGTCAGCTATATGTTGTAATTCACCACAAGATGATTTTACATGATCTCCAAAGCGAAAGCCAAATTATCAAACCTTTGCTTCCCATCACAAAATGGGAAGTCATGTCAGTGGGGTTCTTAGTCATGCCAAACAATAAAGCTACATTCAGCCAATTATAGCCTTTGGGTTTTTCATATCAGTGTGGGATAGTTGAACATAGATAGGGCAGAGACAAAACAAGTTTCTTCCTTCCTTGCATGGGATTTTGCAATGCTTTAACAAATAAGAATTTGTGAACATCTGGATTGGCAGCAGAAAGAGGAACAAAACAAAACAAAAGAAACAACACTATCTTAATTCTGTCACGCCCATAAGAAACCAAGCTAAATATTGCTAGGTTTTTCTATTACAGTAATGTCCAAAGTGCATTATATCACATGTCTGCTGCTTTATTGAACAAATGTGATAGCCAGGGACTTTGATTTTCTATAGTGATTCTTATTGGACCAAAATCTTTATTGAAACTTATTGAGGGCTGTTGTGGTGGAAAGGACAAAGAGCAAGACACAAATCTGGATTAAATTGTTAAACTGCAATGGAACTTGCATATTACATATTTGCAGTGTGCTATGTAGGCTTTTGGATGCCTATGTAGGCTTTTGGATCTGAGAGTCAACAGTTCCCTCCAGCCATTTTTCAATGCTTTCATTATTATTTGATTAGTAGGAAATCTTAGCAAATCATATCTGAATCATTAGGCAGGCTCTATGGCTTTCTGGGGTGACAGATCTTTGGCTGCCATTCAAAGGAACTAGTACATTGTACTTGGACATTTTTTACAACAGAGCCAGAAAATCCTGGTCTGAAATCTGTGGCACTATCCAGCTATTATTACATGAAGGTTTATCCTGAGAAGGGGTTTTGCTCTGCCAGATGGCAGCAATATACCAGCAGTGCTCATCAACCTCCACATCATTCCTTAAGAATCTGGCCTTACAAAATGGTTTTCTTGAAATCTCATAGGATCACAAGATTTTTTGCAAAAAGTTAACCATCCTGCACGAGGTCTCACAAGATTTTGGCCAGGTGGAAGCCCTTGGCCATTGTGTTATTCTATCTACAATAATCCCTAAGGCTGGAAAGGGTTGCTGATTTAGGTATCCAGCTGCCCATCCCTTCCCAAACAGGAAGAATGTTGTATGGTAGACGTGTTCTAAGAGGAAGATGTCACTAGATTATATGTTACATCATTGGGAATGGCTGAAGGCAACACTCAGCCCAATGAAAATACACTCATGTGCAGATTGAAGGGGGAAAGGTCCTGTCTCTATGGAGATGACCTATCTTTGATTCCTACCCACTCATTTTCAATGGATAGCATTACTGGCCAGTTTGGAAAAGGTTGTTATCAAAACTACTTCCAGCCAGCAGAGAAGTGGAATGGGCTCTTTATGTGACAGTTTCCTTAAGCCTGTAGTAAGGGAAAGATTTGGTAGAAAAGCACATGTTTTCCATGCAGACAGCTTCCAATTCAGTCCCAATGTTGTAAGTACACCTGGGAAAGATTCCTGTGCAAAAGCTGGAAAAGACTTTGCCAGTCAGTTGCTAAAGCACAGTGTCACTTGTTTGGTTTTGCTTGGTGCAATGTGTGAATTCCGCTATTATGCCTTGTAAACCATAATTTGTGGCTTAGCATGTTGTATGAATATAGGCAATGATGATTAACTTAATAAATCATTGTTAAGTAATCCATGGCTTACCAATGACTTTTTAAGCCTGATGTGTTTTCTAAATCAGTGTCTTCTAAGGGGAACTTTTGTCTCAAGAAATAAAGCCTTATGCTTCAGTGACACTAGGGGGCTATCTGTACATAGATGGCTTTGCCTCAAAACTCTAATCCTTATGCCGGGAGGATAGCTTAGAATATAAATCTGTTCTTCTAAAAGTCTTTCTAAAGGTATTTTTATTGAAAAACCAAGGGGGCACTTTTACATAAATGAACAACTTGATTCAGATTTGATATATCCATCCCCATTCTTCTATGTACCTCTCATGCCTTATTCCACTTGAACTTTGTGTCAGGTGTTGTACAGAAATGTTGAGCATACAGCTGCATACACATAACCACCGCAAAATTACATTCATATTCAGTACATGAAATAAAGTAGCTCATTTGCAGAATATGAAACCTTAACATCCAAACTGGCATTGACATCATATATTTTATCTCCCCCCCCCCGAAAATTAGGCAAAAGTAAACATTCTTTCCCCTGACACTTTACAATAAATTGTAAGAACTGGAAATTTATGACTCACTTTTCTGGTTTTAAAACAAGGACAAAAGTTATTATAATAAGTAAATTTATCAGTTTGTAAATGTATAGATCTAAATGAGGGTGAATGGAGACTTTTACTGATTTACTAAACTCAAATTGAATATGAAAACCTTTTAAAGTCTCGTCTGAAGCATTTGCAGCTGAAACGCCTTTACTGCTTATTTCTGCTTACCTGCTCCAAGCTGGGCAAAAATAATATACTCCAGGAATACGATCAGCGTTAAGCTTTTATGTTGCGTGACTCCGTCTAGGAAATCCATCTTCGCCACCAACGTGAGGTCGAAAAACAGTAATTAAGGCTATTTTACATGTCTGGTGCCGACTCAACCTCTTTCAAGAAAAAAAGAAAACAAAACTCCAACCCCTCGTAATTTATTGGGATGGTTCTGGGACTGCCGGGTTTTCGCCCTGTCATTTCTCTTTTAAGCTCCCTCCCCCTTCCTTTCCCAAGGGGTCGCCTTTCCCAAGCCGCCACGCTCTCTCGCAGCGTGTCAGTCCCGACCGTCCATCGCCGCCAAGTAGCTCAATCTCCGCTGGCGGCTTAGAGGGGAGAACCCCCTCCCTCCCCCGGCTCGCCCCTCCGGAGAATCGGCGAAAGTCGCGCGGGATTAGCAAAGGCAGCCTTGCAATGAGCACACGCCAAGATCGCTGCTGTTGTTGCTGCTGCTGCTCCTTCTTCTCCTCCGCCGATCTTTTGGGTCAAAAACACGTGGCACCATCATTCAGTCTCCGGGTCCGGAGCTTCTGATTCCACCCCGGGATCTCTTATCCTGGGCTAAGTTCTTTCGTCTCCCCCCTCCGCTCCACGGATCTCCTAGCGAGTGTCCATTCCGGGGCAAAGCTGCTCCTTCACTCCGAGGCAGCAGGACGGGGACGGGGACGGGGGGGGGGGAAACGAGGGGGTTGCTCAGGCGGAAACCTCAGGACGGTAGTTTGCCGGACTGTCCGACGTGCGCGGTCGGGCGCTTGTCTCTAGCAAAATCGGACGACGACCAGGGCATCCTCGTCGCCACCGTTCGTCGTCTCTTCCCTCCAAGGAAATAGTGGACAGGTAGCCGGCTGCCAGCCCTACCAGTAGAAGAGGGATTGAAGGGCATGAGGCACTGAGCAGGGGGTTGGACTAGATGACCTCCAAGGTCCCTACCAGCTCTCTTATTCTGTGACGCCACTCCCTTTCTACTTCATAGACGGAGCAGAAGTCCGCGATAGCATCTCACGCTCCCTTCACCTCTCCGTCCCTCGGTGGAACCCGATTCGACCAAGCATGTAGTTTAGATCCCCTTCCTCGTCCTGTCCCGCCACAACCAGGACGAATCATGTGCCTCGGGCGCTCTTTAGTGATGGGCATTGTGTGTTGGAGGTGGGGGGGGTGGACACACTCACTTCACTCTTGAAGGCTTTCATCAGACCCGGGAAAGGGGCCGAGGAGGAAGAACGAGCCTACCCAAACACAACGGCGACGGAAAGGGGTGCCCTCCTTGAACCTCCTTCCCTCGCTTATGGACGGTGTGTTTAAACTCGGTTATTTTTAATGAGAGTCGGGCAAGGATACCCCCCCGCCCCCAGAATCTACCCCTCTGGTTGGAGCTGATTTCGCCCATCGGGAGAGGGAGAGGGAGGCTGGACGGCACCGCGCCCATGCTCTAGCTGCCCGGGTCCCTGCTTCTTTCCCGCCGCTGAAGTTTGGCGGGGATGCTTTTTCTCGCCTGTCTCTGCAGCGCCCTCTCTCGGACTACACGCCCCATCACTCCCAATCGCGAGCCGAGGGAGGTCGAGATGGGAAAGAGAAAAGGAATGGGGCTCTTTGTGGCCTTGCTAGAATTATGGACCTCTCCCGTTCGGTGTAGGGGCTTCAGCCCCTTAAGGATGGCACCGATTAAAGAGAAAGTTCCAAGTAGAGAAAACGATAGATTTCCGAGTCTTTTTGAGCCTGGATCAAGATGAGTATCAGTACAGAATAAAGGAAAACAGTGGCTTGGGCCCTGCAAGATACAAGCTGAAAAATCCCAGTGTTCTGTTTTTCTTTTGTTTCTCTGGCTCAATTATAACTCACTTCCTGTTAAGATTGATTCTACCAGTTTGGGGGGGGGATTTTTATTTCCAGTTGGTCTCCCTTGGTTTCCCTTTAATCAACATCATCCTTAAGTGATTGAGATCTCCTATTACATTTTTTTAAAAATATTTTTTCCTTTGCTTTTCTACTTGAAAAGCATTCAGTACAGTTTTACAGTGTTATAAATCATAATTGCAATTTGGTAAAGGCCAAAGGTTTTTATTCTATATATTCAAAAGTGCAACTACGACAGAATGTAGATGTCAGTACTGATCATGGAAAGATCTTTTGAAAGTTAAACACCAATTTTCTTCCACACCTTCACTGGTTTTAAGTTTACTTTTGAACTTCATTTTGAGTTTTGCAAGCCTCGCATGGCCTGAATCTGTAAAGAGGCCCTTCTAATTTGGGATTTTGCCATTTTAATTTCATACTCTACCCACCATGAGCTGGATGCATTTAGGTAGTTCACAGGAGAGCAATAATTTCCATGCAGTTATATTTTCTACTATATCTAGGACTCAAGGTATTCTGCCTATGATTCAAGGATGCTGTAGTAAAACTGCCATCAATTTTAACACAATAACAGAGTTGGATGGGACCTTGAAGGTATTTTAGCCTAACCCCCTTCTCAAGCAGGAGACCCTATACCAAGGGTAGGCAACCTTGGCTCTTTTATGACTCATGGACTTCAACTCCCAGAATTCCTGAGCCAGCATAACATAGCTGGCTCAGAAATTCTGGGAGTTGAAGTCTATGAGTCATAAAAGAGCCAAGGTTGCCAACCCCTATTTATACCATTCTGGCTGTCCAATCTCTTTTTAAAAATCTCCTGCCTGGAAATTCTCTTTAATTCTAGGTTGGATCACCGCTTGATAAGTTTCCATCCCTTATTTCTTGTCCTACTCTCAGATGCATTGGAGAATAGGTTGACCTCCTCTTCTCTATGACAGCCCCTCTAATATTGGAAGACTGCTATCATGTCACTCTTAGTTCTTCTCTTTGTCAGACTAAATGTACCCAGTCCCTGTAACTATTCATCCTATGTTTTAGCCTCCATTTCCCTAATCATCTTTGTTGCACTTATTTGGTCTCAACACCATTTTATATCATGGTGACCAAAACTATATGCAGTATTCCAAGTCTTACCAAAGCAGCATAAAGCACTACTAACACTTTCTTGTGATCTTGATACTACCCCTTTGTTGGTGCAGCCTAGGACCTCATTGGCCTTTTTGGCAGGTGCAGCACATTGCTGGCTCATAGTTAAGTGGTTGTTCATAAGTTTCCTTGACGCCTCTCACAGTTATTTTAGTAGCCTTAGATATTCAGATCCTCCTCCAGGAGGTGGTCCAATATCCTTTTGAAGCATCCAGTCTGACTGCTGTTATCACATCAGCTCACAGAGAAGTGCACAACTGGATCTCTGCAATATGTTTTTTTTATCAGCCACTTAAAGTCACTTGAATGTGTTAGTTGTGTCCTCTCCAGGAGAGAGTCGTCCATGAGAGTTTGGATATCCTCACCAATATTGGTATGAATGACTTTTATGGATAGACTTACTTAATTATTACAACATCTAAAAATCAATTTCTTGAGGTGCACTGGAATTCAGCACATTTCTTTCCTAGCCAGTATGGACTTTTATGGTGACCTAAAACAGGTTTTAACTTTACTTAAGGGGCCCTGAGATTGCATGACACATTTACTGAGTCTGTTTATAGTTTCAATATATACTGTAAATGTTTTACTGCCGTATTGTTATTTTAGAATATTGTTCAATAATTCCATCGTTGATCATACTTTAAATGTCATTAAAACACTTTGGGATTTCTGGAATGAAAGAGGGAGGCATAAACATTTCATTAAAAGACATGGAAAAAAGTGGAAGAGGCTCACAATAATGTCATGTTCACAAATAAAAATATCTGAATATTTGAGCAAAATTGCTGGGTCCTTTATTGAATAGAAAACCTTCCCATGTCTGTGATGTGTACAAAGTACAGGAGCATGTCAACTGTCATTCAGTGCAACAGAGCAACCAGATGTGGAGAACCAGATTAGAGAATAAACAGTAGACCTGTCAATGATTCCTCTGGAGGAGGCAGCAGGATAGACCAATAGAATGACAAGGGGTATCAAATAGGGTGTTTCCTCTCAGAGGATTGGAGGAAAAGCCAACCCTGCTTTTGTCAAAGATCACCTTAGCTTCAATAGAACCTCAACCCTTTTCTAAGTTTTGTCCTTCAGCCACTGCTATCTACAAGCCATGTCTACTCTGAAAGCAATTTGTGCTGGGCTCCCCCTCCGTCCTCTTCCAGAAAACAGAGGCCGAAAGAGTGGAATCCCTCATGCTCCTGTGAGAAGCCCAAATCTCACGGCAAGTGAAGAAAAAGTAAGAGTTTGTACAATTCTTCTCTTTGGACATTAACCCTATTTTTTTGCGGAAAATCTCCCCATTAGTTAGGACTATGTTCTACAGAATACAAGCTCTGTATTCCTAAAATGTTCCCTAGCATTGAGTTGGGTGGATCACCCCTGATAGACTTAGATCTGCTTCTTAAAACAGGTCTGGTGGTCTCTGTCCAGCTATATTATTGATAGCTACCAGTTGTGAATATAAACACTGCACAGTTCTATTATATAGATGCCCTTAATGCCTTTCTATCAGGTCTGTTGAGTTCAAATGCATATCTCTGCTCATCACACCCTGAACAACATGGTCTCGTTCAGGAATTTTCAATTTTTCAGAAGTCCTGTTGCTGGGACTTTTTAAGATTTATGAGTGTATCTTTCTTTATGGTTCTGTTCAGTAAAATGTGAGGTCCTTCTACATAGATAATGCCATTTTAAAACAGGAGAAGCTGTATTTATATAAATAGTAATGATACATAATAATGACTTATTAATTCAAGGAAGAATGATAGCAAACATAACTTGAGGATCAGGCCTATATACCGTGTCTATTTTTCAGTTTGAATTTGTACTAATAATTTTTTTGTTCCATGGTTATACTTCATGTCCTTTAGTTACTGTAAATAACCATGGGAACCTAATATTCTCGAATAAATCAAAACATATTTACCAGAAATTTTTTCCCAGTTATTTCCTGAATTCTCTTGCTTCCAAACGGCTATGTTGACTGAAATATGTGACAGTAGCACCCTTCATGTTCTTTTTCTTTCTCTGGAGCCTAAGCAAATGTATACTTTGCCTCTGTTTTCACTGCCCATTCTCTTAAGGTCAATTTGGGATTGTCTTCTTGCCTTTCACCCTCAAAACATAGAAAACAGCCTTTCAGCAATGAACAGAAGCCAAAGAGACTGAGATGCTAAATGCTAGAGGCAAATGAGGTGGGAGTTCTTACAAGCAGGGGAACAGGTTGCCCAAATATTTTGCTGAATAGGTGCTTTTGCCTATAGTGTAAAATATATCCATTTCAGTATCTCACTGAATAAGCTAGCAGAAATGGTCATTTTTGTTTGCATGAGCCTATAATCATAAGGCTGGAAGGGACATTGGAAGTCTTCTATCCAACCCCCTGCTCAGGGCAGGAGCATTGTATCATCTCAGTCAAATGGTTGTCCAGTCTATTTTTGAAAACTACCAGTGATGGAGCACCGATGAGTTTGGAGTAGCATTGGCAATAAGATTCATTCTGTACTGGGAGTGCCTGCAGGGGTTTGTGTGTCAAAGTTTTGATAACAGTTGTGGCAGCATATTTGAAACTACCTCCTCCCCCTTTCTCCCCCTCCTCCCTTGGACAGTAGAAG